TTGAATTTTTGATCTTTCCGAACAATTTTCACCTGGTAGATAACATAACCAACTATGATACCAATTAACCAGGGGGCAGCACGGGAGTATGTTGCGTGGTAGTAATACATCGAATATTTTTCTGCATTTTCGACGTCAACAGCCCTGTAAAATTAGTTAATGAAATAAATAATTTAATTGGTGTTATTTGAGTCAATCGTACAAAAGAAGATTGTCATTTAGTTTGTGAACCCAGGCCAATGCAAATCCAGTTAAGATGGATGCCACCGCAGCAACTGCAACTGCTGCAAGTGTTTGTCTTGGCCAACGTTTGATTGGAAACAAGACAAGTGGTGAAAGAAGAAATAGTTGTGTGTCAACAGAGAGATACCAACTTTGTGGAAGACACTATAAAATAAAAAATAAGAAATTTTTAAGTTTTTGTTTAGATTTTAATTTAGTGGTCATGAAATTAGTATAACTTACCATATCTAGGGTATTCGTGTAATTTTGAATATACAATAATAAACTCCACCAATATTTCTCGCAAGAATCATATGCGGTTGCAATCAATTGCGGCCAATAAGGGCCAGATCCAAAATGTTTGAGAACAGTAAGATGTACGACAAGAACTGCTGCTAAAGCTGGAGTTAACCTTAAAAAAAAACATGAAATTAATATTAGGTTAGGCTAGGTTAGGTTAGGTTAGGGTATGATAAATTTTAATTGGAGTATATTTACCTACCGAAGATAACGATGCAAATAATAGAGGAATATATTAAACGTTTGTTTCTCTTTGGTTGATTTTAGATAAACGTAGATCATCACAATACCAGCCAATAGAAAGAAGGTGTCTACAGCAACAGGGGCACCACGGACGTACATTGTCTCACCATCAGTTATAAACTGAAGAAATAGAATGTTAAAATAATATAAACATTACTAACAGAAATTAAACTTACGTCGATAATATTGGTAATTTTTGTTACGGCAACGCCAGCGATACTACCAAACATGTGGCCAAGAATCACCCACATCATACTCATTGAACGAATACCGGAAAGACACTCCAATTGACCAGCATTTGTACCGGGTTCTGTGGTTGCAAAGAGTTTCTCCCCATTGGTAACCACAGAAAACGCTAATAATAATGGATGGGCCGTTTCTTTAATAATAAAATGTAAAAATTAATTCTGTTAAATAATGAAGAAAATTAATCTTACTTTTTTCAAAATATCGAAGATACGTGTCGTACAAAGATGATACAGCCATTATTCCCAAAATAATTCCAAATACAACCCTGTAGAATGTATTCACATAAATTATTTGATATAATTAACTATTTAATTATTATCTTACATGACTGCAATATCCCCATCGGTGATTTCTGGTTCCTGGCTTGGATCTTGACACTTATCTTCAGAGAAAAACATTGGTATCGGTATTATCTGTATAATTTTGTTCAAATCATCGGCTGAGCATGCGTCTGGGGCACACATTGCCCAAAAAATAGGAATCTATATACAAATAAATAATTGGACAAACAGAATAATTTTTAATCATTTGAAAATAATTTTAAACACCGTGACTTATATAAAATACGTACCCCAAGCAATATCCCCGTACCCAAACAGTATTTTCCATTAATTTGGGTCATTTCTATTGCAATACTGCCGTCAGCTGGCTGTGAGAAGACCTCAATGTCACGAATTGATAGACATTCGTCAAAAGCTCCTAAATTGTAGAGGTTGCCGTCAAAAATTCCTGATTGCAACTTTGACATAGCATCAACCACTACAAAAAATTAATGGTTTTAGTTATATTGTTATCATAATCAGGAATTATAACATTGATGTGCTGTTGAATGCATAGTTAACTAAATTAGTTCATAAATATTGGTTCAATGTTTTCATTTGATAAAATTTAAATCTCAAAAAAATGTATCCTCTTATTTTACACCCAACAAACTACATTTTGGTGACAAAAAGTATTCTGTATTCTTCTCTAACATCACAAATATCTCCTCACCAAAATTTATCACAATTGAATCAATACTTTTTACTATATATTACGTTTCCTTAAATAAAATAGTACCAATTAAGTATAACTTACTTTTTAAAGCCCATTCTTCCTGATTGAAAAACCCTTTCCCATAATTTGTCATCGCAGTTTTACAATTTGGTGAAATATCAGCATCTTTATATGAATGCAAGAAGGTCTGAGAAAAGTTATTCAAACTCTGCATAACTTCATGGTACTCTCTTGTATCGTTCACACTCAGTTCTGCTGACACTCCAAGAACACAAAATGCCACTAACAACAACTTAACGAAAAAATTATTTAAAACCATTTTGGATTAAAATCGAGATTAATTTTTCACAATATTTTTTTAGGATGTATACGTGCATCCAAACAAAATTGTAGATGTGTATTGATTCAATGTTATGGTCCGCAATGCCGTTTATATAGGTGTATATATCAGTACGCAATCGAAGATTTAGATATTTGATCAATCTTCGCCGATTTCAAGTGGTTTGGATCAATGTGGAGAAAACCATAATACTAGCTCTCGAGTTGGGGAAACTTGATTATATTTATATCTATTTATATATGGGATATTCAGAAACATGTGTTAATATCAATTACGTTTGATATACTTCAAGGGGTTATAATTGTTTTGGCTACTTAAAAAGTATTTAGAGAGGAAAATTGAATGTTTATTAACTATGTACTTGTAAATCACGAGGAACGGGTGAAATATGAATTTCCCAAGGTCAGGGCTGATAAAAGATATATATTATTTGATTAAGTGTAGAAAAATAAACCTGGTTTATTATTAGACGCATGTGAATCAGTAAAATGTTGCGCCTACTTATAACAAGTTTATCGCATTGTACGAGTATTATTGTACGATAATACTTTGGTTTAATTGTAAGTATTGCTAACGTATGCAGCGTATTATATCTTTATTTGATAGAGAATTTTCCAATCTTTCATAATCCGCGATTTGTTGGTAGCTATCGCTTTTAGTTTAAGAGATATTAATTATCAAAAATCGTCGAAAAAAAGTATCAAGCACTCCCCCTTGGCAATATTTTTTTAAGAATTAAAATTTCATCTCTCAGATTTGGTGTCTGAGAGGTGACCACGAATCGATTGACATTCGTCGTAAGCTCTTAACTCGTACAAATTAACTCGTACTAACTGTGCAAATTAAATATGGTTAATTAGGCAATCAAAATCAACTAATATAGAATTAAAAATAAGAAAACCTTTGAAATCACTTACTTTTCCAAGCCCATTCTTCTTTCTTCGTAATTCCATTCCTATAAAATTCCATTGTCTTTAAACAATCTGGCGAAACATTAGCATCTTTAAATCCATGTATGAATGTTTGAGGAAAATCGTTTAACTTATTTATAATTTCACTGATCATTTTAGTATCATTGACGCTAAGTTCCGGTGATACACTCAATACACAAACTGTCACTAATAATGTCTTTAAAATTAAATTTAAAGCTATTTTGTTAAATATAGTTTCAAGTATTCCAAGTTGCTTGCACACTAATGTTTAGATCCTATTAATTTGAAACGGTTTTTAGTCACGGCACTTCACAAGGGTTTGCGATAATCTATATATATAAAAGAAAGTCGTGTTGGTTAACTCCTTTATAACTAAAGAACGGCTAATCCAATTTAGCTAAAAATTGGTGGAGAGGTAGCTTAGGGCCAGGAGAAGGTAATAGGATACTTTTTGAAGTGAAAACTTTTTTAGAGAACACTAAAAGGAAACACACATATTCGCTTATATGGTTTAGCCTACGGGAGAAAAAGAGCACACAAATATAATGTTTTCTATTATCTCCGTCTGCCCTTTGTGCAATTCGTAGCTTCCCCCTAAGCATAGACGTGCGTGTATGTGTACGTGTTGGTTGAAGTTGCCCGGTTGATGTGTTTGTTTGAATAGGACATAGTAAGTGTAGGATACTTTTTTTAATATTTTTGAAGTGAAAACTTTTTTGGAAGATACTAAACGAGTTTTCTCCGCCTCTTCTGTGTGCGATGCTTCGTAGCTTTCCATGCAGCGACCAAAACGATCAAATCTTATCCGACAAAACCGTAATGCAACTAGGATTCAAAGGATTGCGAATGAAAGGACTGAAGAAGAACAAGAAATTGCACGTGAAAAGCGAGGCAGAATAAAGTTTGCCGGGTCAGCTAATCTCTCATATATATACGCACTGGAAGATTTATATTTTGATAATTGCAGCGGCGAGCATCGAGCAGGTGGACTCTTGTGACAAAAAGGCTTACGCTTCCTACTTTTAGGAATTCGCGAATGAGTTTAAAAGTACATTAAAAGAAATATATATTATTATATTTGATTTGAATTTTAGGAAAATGTTAATTTTTTGTATTATTTCACAGTATTTGTTATTAAACCTTACTTTTTAATTTAATATTAAAGATAGCTTATATTTAAAGACAATAAATAATTATTTAGATACATTCCTCACATAAGAAGATAATATTTTGGAATTTTATAATGAATTTCATTAAATGTTTTAATGTGTTGTAATTGATTGTTTTGTAATGTCTGAAAATCAACTATAATCTGCTTTATTTGTAATTTAAAAATTTTAAAATCATTGTGAGTCGAACAATATCTTTTTTGCGATGTCATATTGCGCAATGAATGGATAGTATTATATATTTGGGAATACCAACGCAGTAAATTTGTATTATTATCGTTCAAAAGTTGTCTCACTGCTATCTTAAGTGGTTGTACTATGGAATGCTACCAGATGACACAGCTCAGGTGAATAGATAACATCACAGAGCAAATATTATTAGAAATTATATCCTTATAAGTTTCTACGAAAAATTAATGTTTTAAACAAATATAGTGATCCACCTCGTAATTTATACTATGTCACGAGAAATGGAACGTCATACGAGTATTCTTATTATTGAATTAATTGTATTAATGCGTGAAATGTGTGACACACAAATAAATAAAATTTTATTTATTTATAAAAATAATTTATTTTCTCAGAAACTTGCTATAATTATAAATTATATAAATATTAAATTGCTATTAAATAATAAATTGAAACTACGATACAATAGAAATGTCATTTGGTGATGTTTTCTCGGAATTATGACCCTAATTAACGACACCAGTTTGATTATTATCTTCGGCGTTGGAATTATGGTGCACATCACTTTCACAACTTTGGTTTTCATTATTTTGTATTGTGTCGGTATTTGTATTAACGACGATGGGGTTATTATGTGCGGAAACTACCGACCCCTTTTTGTTTCCACCCCCAAAAATAAATTTTTCAATAATGATGATGGGCGATTCGAAAGACAATGTCCACACAACGCTGATTGCAAAAACCAATGCGAAAATCGACCAGTATTCATAAATCTGTAAACAAACAAAAAATTTAAAATATTTACTTATGAGCTAGCGGTTAGTAGATGGCGCTACTTACAACTCGTGCGTGCGTGAACGGCATTGGCTGCTTGATTGACGAGTAAAGTACGTAGAGAACGGAGTAGTGCGTCAAATACATTGAATAAGTGAGTCGGACCAAGACTTGAAAAACTCTAGCTGATAAGAATGCATTTACAGGACCTGAAAAGGAATTAATGTAAAATTATTTTAATTTTTAATCAAAAAACGTGTAAAATGATGAAAAATTAATTAATTAGTGAAGAAAAATTATTTTTTAAATGTTTACTTACCACCGTATCCAGTGACACAAGAAAATATCACCCAAGAGAGCGCGATAGCCCATGCAGGACGAACGAAAGCAATATAGGACGAATTGGCAAGACGATCATATTCATCCTGCGATTTGTCCACAAATACACAAGTTGCCATCACAGCCAACGAAGCAATCCACAACGCCATATTTAAAGGCTGTAAATTAAATTTTAAAATAAATCAAATAATTGATACAAGTCACTGAATTCCAAATTTAATAATATACATTGTTTGATTTTTACGTACCACGCCAATTTTGAATTTTTGATCTTTTCGGACAATTTTCACTTGGTAAATGATATAACCCATTATGATACCAATAAACCAGGGGGCAGCACGGGAGTATGTTGCATGGTAATACATATCGGAATATTTTTCTGCGATTTCGACGTCAGTAGCAGTCCTGTAAAATTATTAAATTATATAAATAATTTAATTGGTGTTATTTGACTCAATCTTACAGAAGATTATCATTTAGTTTGTGAACCCAGGCCAATGCAAATCCAGTTGAGATGGATGCCACCGCAGCAACTGCAACTGCTGCAAGAGTATGTCTTGGCCAACGTTTGATTGGAAACAAGACAAGTGGTGAAAGGAGAAATAGTTGTGTGTCAACAGAGAGATACCAACTTTGTGGAAGACACTATAAAATAAAAAATAAGAAATTTTTAAGTTTTTGTTTAGATTTTAATTTAGTGGTCATGAAATTAGTATAACTTACCATTTTTAGGGTATTCGTGTAATTTTGAATATACAACAATAAACTCCACCAATATTTCTCGCAAGAACCATATGCGTTTGCCATCATTTGTGGCCAATGAGGTCCTGATCCAAAATGTTTGAGAACAGTAAGATGTACGACCAGAACTGCGGCTAAAGCTGGAGTTAACCTTAAAAAAAAACATGAAATTAATATTAGGTTAGGCTAGGTTAGGTTATAATAATTTTTATCGGAATACGTTTACATACCGAAGATATCGATGCAAATAATAAAGGAATATATTAAATGTCTGTTTCTCTTTGGTAGATTTCAGATAAACGTAGATCATCACAATACCGGCCAATAGAAAGAAGCTGTCTACAGAAACAGTGGCTCCTCGGACGTACATTGTCTCACCATCAGTCATAAACTAAAGAAATAGAATGTTAAAATAATATAAACATTACTAACAGAAATTAAACTTACGTCCATAATATTGGCAATGTTCGTTACGGCAACGCCAGCGATATTACTAAACATGTGGCCAAGAATCACCCACATCATACTCATTGAACGAATACCGGAAAGGCACTCCAATTGACCAGAATTTGTACCGGGTTCTGTGGTTGCAAAGAGTTTTTCTCCATTGGTAACCACAGAAAATGCTAATAATAATGGATGGGCCGTTTCTTTAAAAATAAAATTAATAAATTAATTCTGTTAAATAATGAAGATAAATTAATCTTACTTTTTTCAAAATATCGAAGATACGTATCGTACAAAGACGATACAGCCATTATTCCCAAAATAATTCCAAATACAACCCTGTAAAATGTATTCACATAAATTATTTGATATAATTAATTATTTAATTATTATCTCACATGACTGCAATATCCCCATCGGTGATTTCTGGTTCCTGGCTTGGATCTTGACACTTATCTTCAGAGAAAAACATTGGTACCGGAATTATCTGTAGGATTTTGTTTAAATCATCGGCTGAGCATGCGTCTGGGGCACACATTGCCCAAAAAATAGGAATCTATATTCAAATAAATAATTTTACAATCAGAATAATTTTTAATCATTTGCAAATAATTTTAAACAACGTGACTTATATAAAATACGTACCCCAAGCAATATCCCCATACCCAAACAGTATTTTCCATTAATTTGGGTCATTTCTATTGCAATACTGCCGTCAGCTGGCTGTGAGAAGACCTCAATGTCACGAATTGATAGGCATTCGTCAAAAGCTCCTAAATTGTAGAGATTGCCGTCAAAAATTCCTGATTGCAACTTTGACATAGCATCAACCACTACAAAAAATTAATGGTTTTTGTTATATTGTTATCATAATCAGGAATTATAACATTGATGTACTGTTGAATGCATAGTTAACTAAATTTGTTGATAAATATTTAAAGAATTTTGTAATTATCGCAAGATATTACAATATTAGTTCAATTTTTTCTTCTGATATAATTAAAATCTCAAAAAGAATTTCTCCTCTTATTTTACAGCCAATAAGTTAAATTTTGGTGACAAAAAGTATCCTATATTCTTCTCTTATGTCACAAATACCTTCCCACCAAAATTTAACACAATTGAATCAATAGTTTTTACTTCAAAGCGTAGCATACAAACAAACTCAATTTAGTGTTTATAATTTTTATCAGGATACTATGTATTACGTCTTCTTTAATAAAATAGTACCAATTCAGTATAACTTACTTTTTAAAGCCCATTCCTCCTGATTGAAAAACCCCTTCCCATAATTTGTCATCGCAGTTTTACAATTTGGTGAAATATCAGCGTCTTTATATGAATGCAAGAAGGTCCGAGAAAAGTTATTCAGATTCTGCATAACTTCATGGTACTCTCTTGTATCGTTCACACTCAGTTCTGCTGACACTCCAAGAACCCAAAATGCCATTAACAACAACTTAACGAAAAAATTATTTAAAACCATTTTGGATTAAAATCGAAATTAACTTTTCACAATATTTTTTTAGGATGTATACGTGCATCCGAACAAAATTGTATATGTGTAATGATTCAATATTATGGTGTGCAATGTCGTTTATATAGGTGTATATATCAGTACGCAATCGAAGATTTAGATATTTGATTAATCTTCGCCGATTTCAAGTGCTTTGGATCAATGTGGATAAAACCATAATACAAGCTCTCGAGTTGGGGAAACTTGATTATATTTATATCTATTTATATATGGGATATTCAGAAACATATGTTAATATAAATTACGTTTGATATACTTCAAGGAGTTATAATTGTTTTGGCTACTTAAAAAGTGTTTAGAGAGGAAAATTGAATGTTTAACAACTATGTACTTGTATATCACGAGGAACGGGTGAAATATGAATTTCCCAAGGTCAGGCAGATAAAAAGATAAAAAGATAAAAGTTATATATTATTTGATTAAGTGTAGAAAAATAAACCCGGTTTATTATTAGACTTATATAAGTCAGTAAAATGTCTCGCCTACTTATAACAAGTTTACCGCAATCAATTGCCATAATGGGAAGTTTGGAATTTCATAATTGATTTGACGTATATTGCACGATAACACTCTGGATTAATTGTAAGTATTGATAACGTATGCCGTGTATTAACATTGTTTAATAACCCAGATGTAATCCAGGAGCGAGACGGAAATTACCTCTGTTCATATGAGTAATATTACAATTTTTAAATACAGGTCAAAGATAAAAAGAAGTTGAAAAAGATTATCAAGCACCACCCCATGCCCATTGTTTTTAGGAATTATCATTCTTTCTCTTAGATTTCTAATTTACCTAGATAGAGAATTGTCAGTAGATTGAGGCGCTGCAAACAGATCCTACTTATCTTTTTTAGTCTACGAGATATTTACGATTGAATGAAATGGGCAAAAATTGCAAAATGTCACTTTTTAGTACTTTGAGTGGCGTTTTTTATAAAGTATTATATATATTTATCTGATAGAGATTTTTCCAATCTTTCATAGTCCGCAATTCGTTGCATTTTAGCGCTTTTAGTTTTTTGGGACCCCCCACTTCATCACCTGCTGGAATTTAAAATTTTGACCTTTTTTCAATTTTTATTTTTTTTGTATTCTCAAAACATTAATAAATAAGTGTTAAAAAATGGATAGTAAAATTATTAATTGATTTTTTTTACGGCCTTTCAAAAATCACATGAAATGCATGCCTCTAGACTAGAATACCCCCTTAAAAGATATTCAGTATCTTTTTTGTGTTGTTCCATTAATTTTGAAATCACAACAATTCTAAAGAAGTTTTCTCTTTAAAAGTATTTACGTAAGCAAGGCTTTGGGAAAAAACTGATATATCTAAGTACTTGAAAATTAATATCCTTGATAAATTTTTCCAGGTTTCAAGTACTATTGATAATTACAACTCTTTACTACAATCGCTCACATTCTCAAGCATGGGAAATTTTGAGTGGATTAACACGCGCGATTTAATTCCACAAATATAGAGTAATTACGAGTAGGTTGTGTTGGATATAACAGAACTGATAACTGACGTAATAACAATGATAAACAAAATTTACTGGAAGTATTACAGAATGTAATGAGATACTTTCGTGCAAAAGAGATTTATTACTTATGCTAGCAATTTCAAACTGAAGTGTTTTTCTTATAAATTGTGCCGTTTATAACTGCTGTTAATAAAATCTTAACTTGATTTAATCTTTAGTAGGTGATAAAGATACCAACTAAAGAATTATGTTGATCATTACAATTCACAGCCAAGTAAAAAATGTTATGATAGTTTTAAAACTACAATTATCTTTAACTTTGAGTTTGATAACCAAAATAAGTACTATTGTCACCAGTGCTCCACAACTCCACCGTAACTTTCCTCGTCTATCTAAGTAAAATATCCACCTCTTCATTTCACAAAATAGATGAGCGTCTGTGCGTATTTGATGAAGATATACTTACTCGCCGGTATTAAATGTAAAGTGGAAAACTCTTGAAAACACTTGGTTAACTTTGAGGATTTGAGTACTTTTTCATAATTAAAAGGTTCTCGGAAAAACAACAAGGAATGCATCTCTCATTTTATAATTAAAGTTATTTCATTAAGTTGAAAGGAATTATTTTGCTACGTCTACCGTAACTAGGTTCATATCTATAACTAGTTCTCTCTAGATTTTAAAATGATTGCTTAATATATTTTGTACTACTGTAATGCGAGGTTTAACATTTTGAGTTCATTTAAGCGTTGTTAATTTTTGGTGTTTAGTTGGGAACACAGGTTCCATTAACGAGGCAATTATAATTATTTTCTGCTACATTTGCAGGACGATTCAAACCATTTTCCATAGTTTTGTTTTCAACAGTGCGTGGGCAACCAATACGGTATTCAAACTATAATCCACACTAATAGACTGATTTTATGATGAAATTGTTAGTTTTTTTTCAATTTTTTTTGACCTGAAAATGCGCTTTTCAGTGATTCAAACGCCTACATTCAAATATCGTGTATTTCAAAGGCCAGTGCACAAATTAACTCACACTCGTATGATATCTATGAGTAAATAATCCAGTTTTGCAATATTTATTATTTATTTTATACTTATATAATTCTAAGTGGCGACACAACTCGTGCATTGATATACTCGTAGTAGAGGTTCTTTGATAGATGAGTACAGCACCATAAGGATAGTCTTGTGTATCAGATTCATGGAGTCTGCGAGACGAGCTAGCACTTGAAATACTCTGACTGATATCAGCGTATTCATAGGACCTTAAAAGGATTAAATTCAAAAGAAGAAAAAAAAAACTTGCAAAAGAGTAAAAAATTGTTAAATGGCATCTGCTATTATGTCAAGGCTCGAAAGTGTTTTTCAATCGTTTGCCATGCTTGAACGATACGTTATCCTTTATCCTTCAGTCGATTTGTTTTAAAGAAAACGGTGAATGCAAATGGGCTATAAATTTAGTTAGAAATTGTATATCAAGTGTTTACACCGGCGTATCCTGTCACGCATGCAAAAATCGCCGAGGAGAATGGCGACGACCATGCAGGACAAAGGAAAAAAAGTTATATACATGTAGGATGAAATGGCGAGACGATGGTAATCGTCTTGCGCTTATAGCCAACGCATTTAAAGAAGAAATCGTGAAAAAAGTAAACATTTGTTAATATATGTATTTACTAGCTTTAACCCGCGGCTTCGCTCGCGAATATCTAAAATAATGAAGTTGCTTCCGTACGCGTCTGTAGTCACAGAAGAAGTAACAATGAAGTAGAATGGCTGAAAGTATAGTCTATGGAAGTATAGTGTACAGTCTCCATAGTGTAGTCAATTGGATTTGATGTTGACGTAGCTGTCGGTAATACAGTGTGATAATACAGTGTGATGGTACTATAGTACTTAGGTTTGAGCTTCATTGCTGGAATGCTAGATGGCGTTAAAGCAGTCAAATAACCAGATGCAGAGGTATTATTGGCTAAACAATTTCTTTATTTTATTTTAAAAATTAATTTTTTTTTTATTAAATAAAAAGTAGCCTATAACCATTTGGTGACCACTAAGAATATGTGTACAAATTTTCATGATGATCGGTTAAGTAGTTTTTGCGTGAAAGTGTAACAAACATCAGGACTTTCTCATTTATAATATTAATAGGGATTAATGTATTTATTAGTTATTAATTAAAGACGTGCACCATAATATATAAGAACTGTGAAAATGGATTTAAAGCAGAAATTAATAACTTTAAATTTTTTTTTCATAAATGACTCTGCATAATATCAGAATAGAAATTGAAAAGTAATTGGGAAAATCAAGAGATTGCGACTTACATTGTTGATAATTCAATTACACGTTTCAGAGCTGGTTAATCACCAGTTTGACATCACCACTTAATTAGTTTATAATCTGCTTAACAAGTGTAATCACATGATTCGACTGCCAACCGAATCATGTTTAACACCTATTGATTTGTGTTTTGATTGTTTATTGCTTGTTTAAAAATTGTAACATTTGCCTTGTAAATTTTTCACTTTTTTTTCACTTTTCCCGGCCTATGTACAGGGAGCATATGCTGCCTTTATAATATTTAAATGTACAATATTATATGTATATGTATATTTATAATTTGGGAAATGAATTATTATTATCAAAAAAAAAATAGTGATTTAGAATTCACTGGTTTTATTTACTCATGAATAAAGCAAAAACTGTTGAAAATATTAATAAACATTAAATATATTTATGTAGTTATACTTTTTTTGTAGAAACAAAAATTAACTTAAAAATATCAAAAACTGTTGAAAGTAGCAGAAAACTTTTTATCCTTATTTTTTAATTCACAGTTTGCATTTCAGTATTTTTCCATCTGAATGCCGACAAGTGTGCGCTCGAACAAAACTGTTGCGCAATTGAACGGAAAATCGCCCCGACTGCCACACAAAATCGTCCTGCCAGATATCAAGATCTCAATCGTCCTGCAAATCTTCACCAATTGAATCCCACTGCACTTTCAACTTGCCCGAACTGCCCGCCTGTCCGGCGTCGCGTCCGGTGTCACATTACAAACATTTTTATTACGCCCACTTCTTGTATTCACTTCCACATCCACGCCAGCAAAATCTTCCTGCACAACCCAAACCCAAAAAAGCGACAGTTCATATCAAGATCGCACACTCTTGAAAATTTTCCAATTCAAATGTGGAAATTTGTATGCTTGACTGGATCAACAGTTTTACCTTGGAATAAAGACACAGCAAGCAGGAAGGACAAAAGGAGGACATTTCGGGAGGATGCGATCAAGCATACTAACATGCATTCTATTAAAAGCTCCTTTTTTGGAGATGATTTTAATTTTATTTTGTTTTTTGAGGTTTTTAAGTTCTGATTGTGATAAAAATAATGATCTTTGACAAAAAAGTAAAAAATGTGAAACGATTTTCATGTTCGTTCGTTAGTTTAAGCCGCTTATAGTGACATGTGACATGAAACAAGCAAATTGTTAAACAAAGCTTATCGATTTAAAGATCAGAACGAAAAAAACACTCGCAATTTGGTTGTTAGGTACAAAAAAAGCAAAAAAAACTAAAAACAGCTACAAATTTTTGCGCGGCGTTACGCGCAGAATCCCCTTCGTCCTGTTTCGTCCTGTAGAACTCTCACGCAGGATGCTGGCAGTACGCGTCGTCGTTTCGCTGCACTCGGTCGGTCGCGGTAGTGCTCTCGTCGTGATAACGCGTTGTTTTCGCAAAAATTTTCAAAAAATCATTTAAAGGATAAAAAAATATGTGTGAACTAGTTATAAATAAATTCCTGTGTTAATTAATGTTTAATGTAAAAATGTTTGTTGGTTAAATTAGAAAGCGTAATCAAGTTATAATTATATAGATAAAAAACAAAGTGGAAAAAGTTTTTTTTCTCTTGCAAGGAAAGTTTATCAAAGACTTTGAGCGGCGAATGTCATCATCATTAATATGCAAATTGCATACGCATAAAAAGTGATAAATTTTTAATTAATTGCGGCAATTGCTGCAAGAAAAACAAGCGAGTTAAGTTAATTCGGCGGCCAAAAGTAAATAAATTTAATAAAATGTGAAATTAATATTGCACGCAGCGTGTACTAATTAAAATATTGCGGAAAATAAATTACGAAATTAAGTGCGTCGAGTGTACGTATGGAAAACACAGTTTGATGGCAAATTTATGGAAATTCGATTTTAATTAAGGTAAAGGTTTTGTAATTAAATATGCGATTTTGCGATTTGCTCTGCAACCGAGTGAATATTTTAATGTTTTAACGTCATTTAAGTGCTGAAAACACAGTGTATGGTCGGTTTATTATTGAGCAACTTGTTGGTAATTTAATCAGGGATAACTTGATGTGTCACTTGAGACACTCGGGGAAAAATCGAGGAAGTTATAAATGATTTAAGTCACATGTTGATCGAGTTTGCAAGTTAAAGTTAAGTTTACAATCTAATTTTCGATTGAGTGTTACATGACTTGCAGGAAGAATTTTGATATGGTTAAAAGGGAGATTTATGGAGAAAATAATTAGGTATCTAAGGTATCAAGTGAATTAAAGATTGTAGATTTTAATTTGGTTTAAAATTAAGTTTGAATTTTAATTTTTATATAAATTAAAGAAAATATTTTTTGGGTAATGTTTAAATGATCATAACTTTGTTGTAAATAAAAATTTTTGTGAAATTAAAAAAGTGACTGATAGAAAATTTCATTATTTTTAATTTTATTATTAGTTATATTAAAATGTCATAAAAATTACGGAGATACGACCAATTTCACCAAAAAATGCAAATGAAAAATAAAATCTTAAATTTTTTTGTATTTAATTATATTAAGAAAAGTAGTGATAACATTTAAAAAGCTTAATATATACAGTGTGTTTATTAAAAGACTATTATATATTATCACATTATTGTTATTTTGTGCTCGGTGCAGTTTCATCATGAACGTAACTTTGATTATCGACGCAATTTTCAATATTTTGTTCATCATGTGAACGATAATGCCCACCAATAACTTTCTCGTCCACTATATTACTAGAACTACCAAAAGTAGTATTTACATTATTATCTTTAGTTGCCACTTTTGGTTTTTTTCTTATTTCCGCCTCCCAGAAGACATTTCTCAATGATAATAATCGGTGATTCAAACGCCAGCGTCCATACCACGCTGATTGCAAATACCAACGCGAAAACCGACCAATATTCATACATCTATAAATAAATAACATGTTTAAAATGCTTAATTATGAGCTGTTGGTTAGTAGATGGCGCTACTTACACCTTGAGCGTTAGTGAACGGTAGTGGCTGCTTGATTGACAAGTAAAGTACCAAGATAATTGAGAAATGCGTCAGATACATCGAATAAGTGAGTCGTGCCAGAATTTGAAAAACTCTAGCTGACAAGAATGCATTTACAGGACCTTAAAAAGTACAAATTGATAATTATTTTCATATTTAATCAAAAAACGGGTAAAACTATGCAAAATTTATTATTTACCGAAAAAAATTTTTTTTTAATGTTTACTTACCACCGTATCCAGTGACACAGGCGAATATTACCCAAGAGACTGCAATAGACCATGCAGGACGAAGGAAAGCAATAAATGACGTATTGGCAAGACGATCGTATTCATCATGCGATTTGTCCACAAACACACAAGTTGCCATCACAGCTAACGATGCAATCCACAACGCCATATTTAAAAACTGCAAATATGAATTAAAAATAAATCAAATAATTGTTACAAAGCTCATGATTTGTAATTTAATAATATATATACTCTGTTGTTTTTACGTACCAAATTTATTTTGAATTTTTTATTTTTTTGGACAATTTTCACCTGGTAGATGACATAACCAATTATGATACCAATTAACCATGGGGCAGCACGAGAGTAAGTTGCATGGTAATAATACAACGAATATTTTTCTGCGTTTTCGCCGACAACAGTCCTATAAAATTATTAAATTAAATTAATTAATCAGCGTTGATTAAAATCTTACAAAAGCAAACTATCATTTAGTTCGTAAATCCAGGCTATCGCAAATCCACATGAGATGGAAGCCAACGCAGCAACTACAACAGCTGCAAGTGTATATCTTGGCCAACGTTTGATTGGAAACAAGACAAGTGGTGACAGAAGGAATAGTTGTGTATCAACAGAGAGATACCAACTTTGTGGAATACACTATAAAAGAAAAAATAAGAAATTTTTAAGTTTTTGTTTAGATTTTAATTTAGTGGTCATAAAATTAGTATAACTTACCATTTCTAGAGTATTCGTGTAGTTTTGAATGTATAACAATAAACTCCACCAATATTTCTCGCAAGTAACATTTACGTTATTAATCAGTCTCGGCCAATACGGTCCTGATCCAAAATGTTTGAGAGCAGTAAGATGTACGACAAGAACGGCGGCTAAAGCTGGAGTTAACCTTAAATAGCAACATAAAATTAATTAAAGGTTAAGTCAGTTAGTCAGTTAGGTAAGATTAATTTCTATTGGAAGATAGAAAGATACTTACCGAAGGTACCGATGCAAATAATAATGGAATATATTAAATGTCTGTTTCTCTTTGGTAGATTTCAGATAAACGTAGATCATCACAATACCACCCAAAAGAAAAAAGGTGTCCACGGCAACAGTCCCTCCTCGGACGTACATTGTCCCACTATCAGTCATAAACTAAAAAAATATAATGATAAAATAATATAAACATTACTAATAACAATTAAACTTACGTCGATAACATTGGTAATGTTTGTTACGGCTACGCCACCTATAATGTCAAACATGTGGCCAAGAATCACCCACATCATACTCATTGAACGAATACCGGAAAGGCACTCCAATTGGCCTGAATTTGTACCAGGTTCTGTGGTTGCAAAGAGTTTTTCTCCATTGGTTACCACAGAAAACGCTAATAATAATGGATGGGCCGTCTCTATTAAAATAAAATTAAAAAATTTATTTTGTGAAACAATGAAAATAAAATTAATCTTACTTTTTTCATAATATCGAAGATGCGTGTCGTACAAAGACGATACAAGCATTATTCCCAAAATAATTCCAAATACATTCCTGTGAAATGTATAAACATAGATTATTTAATATAATTAACGGTATAATTATTATCATACATGACTACAATATCCCCATCAGTAAGTTCTGGTTCCTGGCTTGGATCTTGACACTGATCTTCAGAGAAAAACATTGGTATCGGAATTATTTTTATGATTTTGTTTAAATCATCGGCTGAGCATGCGTCAGGTGCACACATTGCCCATTTATAGGGTATCTGTCAATACAAAAATATTTATTTTGCATTATTTGTATACAGCAAAATAATTTTAAAACATTTGGAAATAATCTTAATTGTTGAGATTTATGCTTAATACGTACGTCCAGAAGTATCCCCCCTCCTAAACAGTATTTTCCATTAATTTGCGTATATTCTATTGCAATACTGCCGTCTACTGGCTGGGAGAAGACGTCAATGCGACGAATTGATAGACATTCGTCGAAAGCTCCTAAATTGTAGATGTTGCCGTTTAGAATTCCAGACTGCAACTTTGACATTGCATCAGCCACTACAAAAAATAAATGGTTTTCGTTATATTGTTATTACAATCAGGAATTATATGAAAGGAATTATTGGAAAAAATTTGCTATTTTTGGTTAAATTTTGATCCAAGTTTTTTGATTTTTGATCTGTCCTCGTAAAAGTTTTTAACAAAATGTATTCTATATTATTCGTTTATGTCAAAACTATCTCCCTACCAAAGTGTGTCACAATTGAATGAATAGTTTTTGGTTCAAAGCGTAACAAACAGACAAACTCACTTTCGTTTTTGTGATATTTGTCAGGATAGTATATATTACGTCTCTGGAAAAAAAATAGTAGCAATTAAATATAATTTACTTTTTATTGCCCATTCTTCCTGATTGCCAAACGCATTCTTATAATGTGTCATCGCAGTTTTACAATTCGGTGTAATATCAGCATCTTTATATGCATGCAAAAACGTCTGAGATAAGTTATTCAAATTGTGCATAACTTCATGGTACTTCTTTGTATTGTTCACACTCAGTTCTGTAGACACTCCAAGAACACAAAATGTCACTAACCACAACTTAAAAAAAATAATTTTTAAAACCATTTTGGATTGAAATATAAACTAATTTTGCACAAAATTTATTTAGGATGTATACGTGCAACCAAAAATTATAGATGTGAAATGATTCACTATTATGATCTAACGTGTCATATATGTCTAGATGTATACTTCAATACCCAATCAAAGGTTTTGATATCTGATTAATCTTTGCCAATTTCAAGTGGATTGGAACAATGTAGATAAAACAATAACAGAGCTCTCGAGTTCATGTCTATTTATATATTGGATATTCAGAAATGTACATTAATTAATTACGTTTGATAAACTTCTAGAGCTTTCAATTGGTTTACTTATATAATTGTGTACTTTCAAGTCCAATGGAAGATAAATTTTATTTGATTAAGTTAAAAAAAATAAACCCAACTTATTATTAGGTGTAAATCAGTTAGTAAAACGGCGGATGAACTTATAACAAGATTATTACAATATTGCCATAATGCGAAATCAAAAGTCGTAACTCTCACTATCAATTTATAATAATCTATATATATATATATATAAATGAATTGCTGTTCGTTAGTCTCGCTAAAACTCGAGAACGGCTGAACCGATTTATCTTATCTTGGTCTTGAATTATTCGTGGAGGTCTAGGGAAGGTATAAAAGGTGAGAAAAATTCGAATAATTGGCGGGAAAATCCTCAAAACAGTTCTTTTCTATAGAATAAAATTTGACATTGAGATTCAATCATAGTTATAGTTAAATAATTGAATTCGAGATGGCGCGCTGAAGTGCATTATTGACAAAACTTTATATAATTAATTTCTTTAAATTAAAATAGCTAATCTTATTGATAGAATTGACTCTTACTACGAGTATGTCTAGAACAAGAGAGTAAAAACGAATGACATTTTTATTTTACATTGCCGGAACGAAGTCGCAGGCAACAGCTAGTTATAAATAAAATTTAATAAAATTTAATTATTTTTATTTTTTAATTATTTTCTTATTTTTAATTAGTATATCCGTAAATCCGTAAATCCATCCATAATTTAAACATGTCATGCAGTTTTCGAAACTTTCATAGCGCTCATATGTTTCCCGCAAACTATTATGACATTCACCAAGACGTCACGCAAAGACATTTATGAGCGCCAAGCACGCCGCGCGACTAAATTCGGTTAACAATGCCAAGGACTGCTGCGAGGAGACGCGCCAAGTTAGCATGATAATGCCAAGTCGTTTGCTGCGACAATATTATCTTCTTATCTTGGCAGCCGACAAAATGCTCAACAGTTTATGCTGGAAATTAACAACAAACTGTTGTGCGCATAACCTCCCTTAAAGACCAGTATAAAAGCATAGTATAAATGTCAATTTTGGCGAAATTTATTTGGAAATAAATTTGTTTATAGTTTTTAGTATTTGTGAAGTAATAAAATAGGGTTAGGAGGAATTGTAATTAAAAATATCTGCGAAATTTTTATAATAATGGTCATTTTTAATTGGCTGCAATTAAATTTAGAGTTGATATATTTTAATTGTTTATAAAAGCTTTGTAAAATGTAATGAATAATGAAATTATTTTTAGTTTCAAAGGGAATAGAAAAAAATTATTTTTAATTAATTTTAATTTTATTTATATTGAAATTTTTTTGTATAGTGCATTTTTTTACCGAAAAAAGTTAGTTAAAACTTTGATAACTCAAGAACGGTAGGACAGATTTTAATGATCTATGATTTGTTCCATTTGTTTTCTCATAAAATAGCAGAATACATAATAAAACATCAAAAATATTGATTAAAAGGGTGTTAAATAAGGGATGAAAGTTGGTGTAGAGATTAAATCCTAGTTATACTTCCATAATTGAATCCGAGATGGCGCAAAAGTGTATTACTAGCATTTCTCTTTTTTCTAATAAAAAGCTAGTTAAAGATGAATGATTAATCATATACATTTTCATGTTTACACGTCAATAAATGAATGATTAACAAATCAAATGATGTTCAAACTGTCCAAATGTGAACACATCTAGTTCTGCACAAAGTCAACTTCAGAGTTCGTCCTTGAGACAAAAAGCCATCAAGCCGGTCGACAAACTGTGATTCCTCACCGCTCCACCAAGTTTCACCGCTTTATTGCCACACTGAAAGCGATGAAAGCCCAAGACGCGCACCTGATCACCACCGAGCGCAGGAAACAGACACCAAATTCAAGCGCCGTAAATATAGTGCCGTCGCGTGCACAATGCCGATAGTTTGCGGGGGCAGGCACAATCACCACCAATGCTGCTCGTAGTTTGCTAGTTCGGCACGAGACGAATGACATTAGTCGCGATATCCATCATCAATGATTCGTATGAATTATGCATTCTGCTTCGGTTTCTTCGCCCGGTGGCAACGTGTTCTCATTCGCCTTCTAAGTCAGCAGACGCAGACGCAGCGGACGAATTCGGCGCGTCGTTCAAGGTCTATTTGTAATTTGGGTTCATAGAGGTGCCGACGGCGCGATTCAATGATCCGAAAGTTATTAAGTTTCGCAACATGATTCCGCCTATTAGAAATGCATGAAAACATACTATATATTCATGAGTAGTTTTGAATGGAAAGTTATGAACTAGTTTTTGGGCGAAAAATATTAAATTTCAACGCGATGTCAAAGAAAACTTTGTGTTTGACAGGCGACAATTGACAGCAACGCCATCTATAGTGTTAAAAATAAAATACGGTATAAAATGAACAAGTTTTATGCAATTGTCAATAAAAAATGTTAATATTAATAAAAATTTTAATATATACAGCGTGTTAATATAAAATTTATATAAAATATAAAAGAAAACTTGGTGTTTGATAGCTGCCAATTGACAGTTACGCCATCTATAGTGTATAAAATGAAATAGGTTAGAAAATAGGCAAATTTTCTGCAACTGTCAATGAAAAATGTTAATAATAATCAAAATTTTATTATATACAGTGCGTTAATCTAAAATTTACACAAAATGTTAACGAAAGCTTGGTGGTTGACAGCTGACAATTGGTAGCTACGCCATCTATGAGGTTTAAAATGAAATATGTTAAAAACTTAACTAATTTTATGCAACCAATCCATAAATAACGTTAATATCAACAAAATTTAAAGATAATTAAGTAAAAATTGTGATAAACAGTTAAAAAGTTTATTATATACAGTGTGTTTCTCTAAAATTATTTTATTATCACATTATTGTACTTTGGTGCCCTGTGTAGTTTCATCATGAACGTAACTTTGGTTATAGACGCCATTTTGAATAGTTTGTTCATCATGCGAACGATAATGCCCACCAATAACATTTTCCTCCACTATATTACTTGAACTACCAAAAGTAGTATTTACATTATTATCTTTAGTAGCAACTTCCGATTTCTTCCTATTTCCGCTTCCGAGAAGACATTTCTCAATGATAATAATCGGCGATTCGAACGCCAACGTCCAAAACACGCTGATTGCAAAAACAAGAGCAAAAACAGACCAAAAATCATACAACTACAAAGAAAACACGAAAATATTAGTTATGTTATTTTTAGTTAATAGATGGCGTTACTTACCACGCGTATATTCGAAAACGCTATCGGCTGTTTTGTTGATAAATCTATCACGAGGATGATGGTAAAGTGCGTGAGGTACATTGAATAGGTAAGACGCGCCAACACTTGGAATATCTTTGCTGATAAGAATGTATTCACATATCCTGTGAAGTATAAAGTATAAGGAAAAAGTGAATGTGAAAGGTGTGTATTGAATGTTTACTCACCGCCGTATCCCGTCACGCATGCAAAAATCACCCAGGAGAGCGCCAGTGACCATGCAGGACGCATGAATGCGATGTAGGATGACATGGCGAGACGATCGTAATCGTCCTGCGCCTTGTCCGTGAAAACGCACGTTGCCAACACGCTAAGTGAACATGCCCATAGGGATAGATTCAGAAACTGTGAACAGAAGTAAACAGAAATAAAGATAAAACACATAAAAAAAGTTTTAGTGTTTTTTTATGTTGTAGGTACCTTGCTTATTTTGAATTGTCCTTTTTGAACAATTTTGACTTTGTGAATGAAGTAGCCTATAATAATACCGATTAACCAGGGGGCAGCACGTGCGTATGTTGTGGTATAAAACTTCCGCATGTAGGCTTCCGTTGCGTCTGGATCTTTTTTTCTATTTTTAAATTTGTTTAGTGAATTATTTTTTATTGTGGGAGGCAATACTTACAAATTATTTGTATCAACAAGTTCATAAATCCAAGCCATTGTAAAACCGGATGAAATGGATGCCACTGCGGCAAGGAAAACAGCAGCAAGTGTAATTCTTGGCCAACGTTTAATGGGAATAAGAAATATTGGTGATAGGATGAATAATTGTGTATCCACAGAGAGATACCAACTTTGACCAACACACTAAAAAAAAATAATAAAAAAATTAAAAAAAAATAAAAATAAAAACTTTTTTATAACTGAAATTTAAAATTTCGAAATGAAATTTTTTGTTGAGCGTTAAATGTAGTCTAAACTTACTAATTCATATGGATTGGCATAGTTTTGAATATACAACAAGACACTCCACCAATATTTCTTGCAATTGTCTAATGCATAACTGTTCATCATTGGCCAGAAAGGACCGGAACCAAAATGTCTAAGAACTGTGAGATGAACAGCAAGAACTGCGGCCAGGGCAGGCGTTAAACTAAAAATAATTGAAAATAATGCAAAAATATTAAATTAAAAATTAAAAATCACTAATTTATCAGTAAAATATACACTAGTAATTATGAAATAATTAAATATTACTTAGTTTTGCGTTTTGTGGAATCTAATCACAAATTGCTGGATTATCCTTGACCTGTTTTTATCTAATAACTAGTTTATATAATTTCTATGTTTGCTATTTTCTATGAATTGAGTTCAACAAACTGCAGTTTAGTTGCGATAAGCAAAATTTTATTATATTTACTGATGTGGAATAACATACCGTAGATATCGATGCAAATAATACTGGAAAACATTGAACGTCCGGCTGTCCTTGGTTGATTTAAGATAGACGTAGATCATCACTATGCCGCCCATTAGAAAAAATGTGTCTACAGACACAGTGGCGCCGCGGACGTACATTGTCCAACCATCGGTCATAAACTAAAAATTGTATTAAATAAAAAAATAATAAAAATAAAAAATTGACTTACACTTAAAATATTGTTCACATTAGAAACAGCTACGATTGCAATATTACTGAAAGTGTGACCGAGAATAATCCACATCATGCTTATTGAACGGATACCTGAAAGGCATTCCATTTGATCACCTCCGGTTCCTGGTTCTCTTGTGGCAAAAAGTTTCTCACCGTTGGTAACCATTGAAAATGCAAGTAGTATTGGGTGACAGGTTGTTTTCTTATAATATCGTAGGTAATAATCGTAGATAGAAGATAAAATCATAGCAGTAAAAATAATACCAAAACAAACTCTGTAAAAATTTAATTTTAAGTTTCAGAATAAATATTAATATATTTATATGATTGCTTACATTAATATAATATCCCCTGAAGTGAATTCCGGATCTTGACTCGGATCATGACAATATAATTCCGTGAAATTCATTGGAACGTGTGCACTTTCCATAATAGCATTTAAATCATCTGCTGAACATGCATCAGGAGCACATGTTGACCAATATAAAGGTATCTAAAGTATTATTCTATTTAAAGTTATTATATTTAAAACAAACTGAAGTTTTAATTTGAAATCAGCGAAGCAAATATTTCAAATTTAAATTTATATAGAAGTACAAGTATGACAAACAAATTATAGCAATGGGAAAGCTTACTGTGAAAGGCACTGTGGCAAGGCAATATCTTCCGCTAATTAGTGTGATCACTCCTTGATCCTGCGGCGAGTTGACGGCGACGTCGCGTATCGATTGGCATTCATCGTAAGCTCCCAAGTTATATAGGTTTCCGGCCAGGATACCGGACTGTACCTTAGACATTGCGTCAAACACTAGGGACAAAGAAATATTGAAAAAATTTAATTGCAATTAGTGATAAAAAAAAGATTTGACAGAAAAATTTTGGTTTAATAATCAAAATTTGAAATTTTATTTGTTTAATAAATAAAATTATTTATTTTCTTATATATTCCGCGTTTTAAATGGATAATAACTAATAAATAAATAATAAAATTTTTTACTAAGGTTTATCCTATATTTTTCACCTTAAAAGTCATATTTTTGTCATAACTGCAAACAATTTTATTTTTTTGTGATTTTTACGTTAAAATGTCACAATAATACACCAAACACCAATTCGAATTTATAATATTTGTGTGGATTATTGGTTAATAAAAAAATAGAGAATTTTTTACAATGCAAGTTCATTGCACTGCAATTTATCTTGATTATCGGAGATAATAATATCAAATATTTTTGTAATCTACCATGACTTACTTGTTGCGACTTAAAATGATATAGATAAGTAAAATGCATCAATACAATTTCAAAACAAAAAACATTTCATAAATGCACCAAATAATTTATTAAGAAGAAAATAAAGAAAATAAAGAAAATTGAAAAATTAATCTAAATATAAAACAAATTTTGCAGACTTACTTTTGAGGGCCCATCCATCAAATTTCTCAATTCCTTGCGCATACAGAATCATCGCATTTCTGCACTCCGGAGAAATATCCGCATTTCCAAACGCTGACAAAAATGTCTGCGGAAAGTTCGCCAAACTTAGCAGAATTTCAGTTTGCCGTAAAGTTTCATTGTTATTCATGCCCGAAACTCCAAGGGCACACCATATCACCAGACATACTTTAAAAACAAAATTACCCAACGTCATTGTCACACTTTTCTTCACAAAAATTCATAAAATCTTTAAAAAAATTTAAAGAATAAATTCACTCAACGGACACTTAATATAAATCAAGTTAAATCTCACACACGATCAAAGTCGCAATTGTGCAGGCGCATTACGCGCACATAATATATATACTCTCGCGGTCCGCGCGCGGAGATTTAAAATTTTTACTAATTGCCACCGACGTCGCGGGTTACCGCCGGTCGTTGGATGTTTGATTAATCATCGGCGAATTCGCGTGATGCCTTAGCGCAGGCAGGTGTGCGGCAGCGACTTTCGACGCGCCGCGCGCGAAAAAATATAAAAATGGTTTAAAAACATGCTAATAATGATTGTTGTGCATGCGCCGCGTGCTGATAATGAACGTGAGTTACTACTAGCACACATACCGCGCACATATTTATTTGAGGTCATCGACTCGAACTAAATTTGAAAACTTTTTTGAGTGTATTTGCAAGGCGAAATTGAAATTACGTAACTCTATCCTTCAAGGCTCGCAAAATTATTGTGCAACTGTATATGAACCCAAAAAAACTATCTTATTAATCATTTTTTATATTCAGAAGAGTGTTTATTGTACAAGTAATAAAATTAAATAAATAAAAACAGAAAAAAGAACAAAAAATCAACAAAAATTATTTTTTTACGATTTTTTTAGATTTTGCGTAGTTGCAATCAGATGGCGCCACTGCATACCAACTTGACATGTACCAGAAATTGCCTATGTTAAATTAGGATGTTTTTAACATAAACTTACTTTAAACACATTGTATATAAATATTGCAATGAACTTTTAAGATTGCTTGTTGTGCAATAACGTCTCGTTTTTTATTTTGTTGGGATTACCTGCGCATTTAATTCGATTCAGTCATGCATTGTGTGTTCCTCGCCATAATTCGATGTCATTGACATAGAGATTCCAGTTCGCCTTGATCGCAACAATTATATAATACTACAATAATAGTCCATACGTAATGCTGCACTAATGCGTTAAAAATGATTTCCACAAGTGAACAATTCCGACCTTGAGCATTATGCGCTAATATTGAATAAAATATAATTTGTAGATATTGTGGGTTTTAGCTGCCGCCCCCCATTAACCCGATTAATCTCGGGGTGCGCCTTTGATAAACTACCACCGCCGCATAGAAAACAAAGCGTCGTCTTGGCATAGCATAGCGCATTGGCAGCGAGTCAAAATTAAATGACGGAACGCTTGCCAGGCGCCTTCGCAATCAGCCGCCCCCCGCGTGCCATATGTTCGCGACGAAATCAAATCGCCACGCATCGCAAAACACATACACACGCGTTAATGACGACAGGGTGCGCATTAACAATGCTCCGATTACAAAACACCCTCGTGGGGCATATTTGGGGCGTCATGCCGGAGTAATCTGGTGGTGGCAACATTCAAACATAATTCAGAGTTGGCGGTACTTTATAATTATCAATAAAGTTGATCGCTTTGGGGTAGTAGGTTAACGGGTAGTTGTGTACTGGGTTGCCTACATTAAAAAGCACAGCGTGGCAAGCTAAACAAGAGATTTGATACCAAGGTTGGTTTTAGGGGTGGATTTTGGGGGTGGTCGAGCTGACGCTGGGCAGATTAGTTATCCCATCGACGCGCGCTGCGGTCGCCGCCCGCCGCGTGATAGATATTAATTTCGAGCGATTTATGGCCTGCGATTTCCTAAATTATTGCCGTAAGGATTAAAGTCTAACGTTTTTAACCTAAAAATTAAATAAAAATAATAAAAATGCAGAGTAAATGTTTTATATCCATTAGAGTTCTGAGTTATTACTTTATAATTTTTACAGTTAAAGCCAAAAATACATTAAATATAAAAACATACAGAGTGTTTTGGTGCGGGGTATTAAAATTTATAGTTTTTAGATGGAAAGCATTTTTTGAGGAATATTCGAACGACGCGCCGTAAAAAAATCGTGAAAGTTCGTTATGCGGCTTAAAAAGCTTTCGCGACGTATTAAATTTTTACCGCCGGCGGCTGAACTCCAGCAGAAATTTCTGCGGGAAAAAATTACGCTGCTGGAAATTACGGGTAAATTTGAGCGTAGCATTCGGAGGAGGCAAAAAGTGCAGAGTAAAGTTTTACCAATCACATCAGTGACCAGGGGCATATAAAGTCGACGGAATATTTGTCATCCGGATTTCCGGATTTAAAATTATTTTAAGGTTTTATTTGAAAAAGTAGAAATTTTATTTTATGCATTAAATGAAAATGAAAATATTTTCCGGTTTTCCGGTTTTGTGGTTCATGATAATATAAATTCAATTTTTAAAACAAAAAAAAAATATTTTTTTGAAAATTCACTTTTAGAAATAAAAACTGTATTTCCGGTTTTCCGGTTAGTGATAATAAAAAAATGGAACTTTTATTTATTTACTTTGTAGTTACATTTTAATAGAATTTTGATAGTATTTCCGGTTTTCCGGTTTTGAAAATGAATTAATTTGCCATAAATTTCCAAAAATTAAAATTTGTATTTAAAATTATTTATCACCTCCCCGAGAATGCTCAATCAATCAAGTGTTCCTGTATGCCTGTATTCTGGATCACTTAAAGGATGAACCATTGCGGAAATAAGATAAACGACGCAATGAGGAAGTATCTCGTGTTTGTTTCGGGCGAGCGGATATCATTTACCGTTTTATTATATTCTTTTCTTTGTTCCGCGCCGGTGCAGGATTGTTTCGTTAAATTTTTGTTATTTGTTTGCGCGCAAGGGTGGAACACGCTTTAATTCATCAGGAACGCTAGGATGTGCGGTCCGATGATGATTTATAGACATGTTGTTTTGTGGAGAATTCTCCAGTTTCTACGATTGCAGGAAATAAAATTTTTGTGCGCGTAGAAAATCACTCACAGCTCGTCGAGTTTTTAGTTGAATTTGGATGGTTATACATCAAATTGAAGCTGTGAAAATTGTCTACAAGATGGATGGGGGTTTTAAGTTTATGGATAAAGGTTTGCGGGATTAATTTGTGAATGAAATAAGAAATTGTGGAAAAAATTAAGAAATTAATTTAATTTTGGATTTTTTTTCATTTTTTTGGAAAATAAAATATTAAATTTAATTTATCCCTACTAATATTATAAATGCGAAAGTCCTGATGTTTGTTAAACTTTCACGCAAAAACTACTTAACCGATCATCATGAAAATTTGTACACATATTCTTAGTGGTCCCCGAATGGTTATAGGCTACTTTTTATTTAATAAAAAAATTATTTTTAAAATAAAATAAAGAAATAGTTTAGCCAATAATACCTCTGCATCTGGCTATTTGACTACTTTAACGCCATCTAGCATTCCAGCAATGAAGCTCAAACCTAAGTACTATAGTACCATCACACTGTATTATCACACTGTATTACCGACAGCTACGTCAACATCAAATCCAATTGACTACACTATGGAGACTGTACACTATACTTCCATAGACTATACTTTCAGCCATTTTAAACTTCCCACCATTCTACTTCATTGTTTCTTCTTCTGTGACTACAGACGCGTACGGAATCAACTTCATTATTTTTGATATTCGCGAGCGAAGCCAAGGGTTAAAGCTGTTATGATATATTTTTACATGCTTGTTAAAAATGTACCCAAAATTTGATAAAAATAATCAAATTTTTCAAGATATGAAAGCAAAAAATTAAAAAAAAAAACGAAAAAACTTTAAGTTTCAATAAAATCGTATTTTTGATCTTTTAAATTTCCAAACTTATATTTTTAAAAAGAATATTTATAATTTAATTGTCCTAAATATAAATTTTTATAAAATAAATATTATTTATGTTTATAATAATAGCTATCATAAATTTACCACCGTTAAACATGTAAAAACAGCAAAACAAAAGTACGTTTGGTTGCCTATAATATCCTGACCATTCTAAACATAAACATAAAGATAATTTCGCTATTTGCTCATCCAAACAATCTCCGCCAGCATGCACTTTTCTTCTACAAGTAAATAAAGCCATCCGCGTATTATCGTTTGTATTTTTAATGCGCGCATCTTATTTATGCGGCTATAAAGTGGGCGCGCGCAGAAAAATGGCTGCATATGAAAAATGGCGACCGCGTGCGAATACTAAACGAATGTGTTCGGTTCTGTCCCCACCTACAACATTCCTGCAGGCATTAAATATACATTAAATAAGCGATTCGCGGCACGTTTCTCGCCACGATCCTGATGGCTTCTTCGTGGCGGCGGTCCTCGCAGGGTGCGAATCACTCCTCATTCCACACGCACTTCATGCTGGTGCTAAGTGCCGCTTAAATTACCGAACACATTCTGGGACGCGCAGGCGTCTGGAATTCTCTGAAGGAAAATTGTTAATAAATAAAATTTGAATAAAAATTTGTGATTTTATAATGGAATTTGGTAGGGCAATAAATATTTTTGGGAAGTTTTCCGGTTTACATGGGATTTGCGGGTCTTGCAGGACCTTGGAGTTGTCTCCGCACATACGACTTTTGTCGGAGGGCTTTTGGTACATAAATCATTTTTCGTTTTACATCCTGGATAGCCAGGACGCTGTCAAACGGAAGGCATAAATCATCGATGAAACTATTCGTGAATTTCAACTCTTTAACCTGTTCTAATAATAAAGAGATTAGTTAAACAAAGTTTGGAAAAAACTGACAACTAATCAAAATATACAAAGTGGTAAAAACGTAAAAAAAAAACAAAAACAAAAAAATTGTATATTAAGTTACAAGTGGCTAAAAGAGAGTTTTTGTCACGAGATTTATTAAAAGTGAGTACTCCGTGACTAAAGTCCGTGACTAAAGTGCTTTAGACACGGGTTTGGCCATCTATATTTAAAATATTACTATTTGGGTCTAAAAACCATGAAAAATCTGTTGAAGTAGAAAAAAATCATTAATTATTTTATACATTAATTTATTATCAAAAAATTATGATGAAGATGAATTGATTATGAAGTTAATTATGAGTAGTAAATGAAAAAATTACAACAGTGAAAAGTTATAAAGAAACTCTTTTACTGAGTGCAACAAAGTGAAAAAAGAACCTCTAAAACCCGGAAACCGGGTTTTTACGCACAGGCGCGTATAAAAAAGTATTTA